TATTTAAATATTAATTTATATTAATAAAATATAAAATATTTATTTATTTTAATATATATATATATATATATATTAAGGAATAGAATGTATTACATAGTAAGTTGCTTGTAGCCCAAAATATATACAAACATATAGATACATTAAATAAATTAATTTAGGTAACAAAGGAATTATTAATTCCACAAACTTTGGTATCTTGGTATTGTGCTGATAGGGGGTTCTGACCTCCTATCTATAAGGCTGACATAATGAATTCACCTCAAATCAGAGATCCCACATCAGGCACTGGGAAATGTGTTTTACATTTTCCTTGAAAACAATTCAAATGACAACAGCACAGAGGCATGTCTGCCCGAGAGAAAAGACCTACAGATGAGTTATCTTACAATCTCACTGCTCAGTCTTTAGCTCTACACTATCTACATGCATTTAGCTAATCCATTTATGCCACTCTAATGCTTGTGGTCTTATGTGTTCCAGGTGGAAGGACCCAAGGCAAATGTTTGCTAAAAGGTAGCCTACTTCAGATCCGAAAAGGATTGAACTAAGAATTATATTGAGATTTCGTGGATTTCATGGAACATTGTGTAGGAAATTGTGAATGACTTGCTAACACACACACACACACACACACACACACACTCACACTCACAGACTAAAACTTGCTCTGGCACTGCATGACGCATTCTCTTACCTGCGTTCCTGAGAAAATTGCCATCATAGTCTTTGACGACTCTAGTGCTGGGATCATAAAAGCCATCGCCGCTGTCATAGCAACCATCAGGGATGGCCCGCGGGGGGTACCGATCAGTTAACTGGGATTCTCCTATTCAAAGACACGGTCAGACTTATTTTCTTTCTTATAATTTTAGAGAATCGTGCTGCTTAGCTGTAAATGATCACACACAATAATTCCAATAATTTCAACCATACCTGCTGGTTTGAGGCCATTACACCTCTCAGAGTAGAAACGCCTTTCTTTACCATCACAGTAATCCCAGTCCGTCTCTTTATACTCCAGGCCATCAGAAAATGTGTACTTTCCCTATGTGTAACAAAAACATTTAGTCCAAGCATTTACTTAATGCACATTTAAAAATGTCATTGCATTAAATACAAAATATCAAATCAAGTGTCATCTGTTCAAATGCACTCAATAGCAAAGTAACCACACGTGTAGCTCATTACATCAACTATCAACATGACCCATTAAATGTTTACAACCAGAAAGTGTTACAAATTACAATACTTTTTGTCTTCTGATTTTGATCAGTATATATATTATTTTATTACTGTTAATATTTTAGAATATATTTTCGATACGTTGTTTGTTAGATATCAAATATATCGAGTTATTAACATGATTATTATTATTAAAATTAGGAGGGAAATACCTCTTTGCATATTCCTTTCTCCCAAGTTCCCTCATATTTGCTTCCATTGGGGAAATGCAGCACTCCTTTCCCATGGAACATGCCGTCTTTAATCTCTCCGACATATCTGGTGTGAGTTGGAAGTGTGTATTCGCCCGTCCCCTCCATCCTTTGAAAAACAACATGTGATGAGAGGAAATTAGACCGTTTAATTGACCTCTTCCTTATTCTTAAAATGACTGTATCTTTAGAATCACAATAGTACTGCTAAACTGATTGTGAAAATTATTGTTATATTATACATTATTGTTTTTGTTACTTGAAACATAATGAGTCATATTTAAAATATGGCATGACACTTGATTAGTCAGTCATGAAAAACAATTCAAATATTCAGGAAATCACATATAAAAGACATAATTCCATAACCTTACAATTCATTAAATAATATGAAATAGTTTCACTTTATATTATTTTATGCATTTAAAATGTATATATAAAAATATTTAATTTACCAGATGCCTGAAAGAATCATAGTGCCCTTATTTGGTCTAGCACTTACTACATTTAAAGTTATCTATATATTATTCACTTTGTTTTATGAATGTGATTTATCTATATGTATGTATATGTAATATATAAATGTATTTGTGAAGACCTTTCAATTCAATTCAATTAGCTTTATTGGCATGACAAAAGCACATTTTGCATTGCCAAAGCATAGGAAAAGAGAACATATACAGTGTATAACAGTGTAATTTGGAACAATATAGCAACTGAAATAACATTTGAACAAGTAATATTGCAAGAATCCTTTCTCTCTAGCTTTGCTCATGAAGGTATCTTTAAAAACGGGAAACATCGTATAAAATATTACATATAACAAGTGTATGGCACTCCCATAAACTTATATTCAAATGATAGGGCATATAAATGTCATCAGCTATCATTAAAAGTTGATTTACCTGCCATTATTGTAATTTCCATCATAACTGCTTCTCATAAACTCCATGTTGATCAACAGCGAAGCAAGAGCGTGATACTGTTTCCATAGAAACACAACCGAGACGATACATATTTAATGGTAATACTCCTCTGGGACAGATGCCACGGTCATGCATTAATAAGCGATAGAATAAATGATAAATAATCATCTCAGAGCCAGGCAAATGTTTTGAAAAGTACTGGCAGAAAAGTAGTGCCATAACTTTGCGTTCTGTTTGGAGCCAAGATGGCGCTACAGCGTATCCGTTTCCACACACATGACGTCATCGAAAGGCGCCCGTAATTCTTCGCGCATGCGCAGTTAACTGACCTTCTCCGTGCGGCTGCGGCCTCGTCCTGCTGCAGACGAGGACTTTGTGTTGTGTTGTGGTGTGAACTGTCAAACTCATTTTGGTTAGTTTCGGTGAACTAAAAGTCGCACCATGCCCGGCGTGGTTGAGGTTCCGACGTTGCAGGAACTGAACGTCGAAGAGGTAACTTTACGTCTGAAAGAATGGAAACACAACCAGGTGTTAGCCTGAAGCTGCAGGAGTAGCACTGCTAACGTTAACCTGTGAAGTTCATTTTAATGTGTTCAGCTAGTATTGCAGTGTATGCTGGTTAGTTAAGATCAGAAAGAAAGCATGGATTTGAATGAACTGGAAACTGATGTGTTGACTAAGTTACATTAGTGTTGTTTTTAGCAGCCTACCAAGTGTCAATGGTTTTCATATTTTGTGGTAACGTTGCTATATTTCTCTCTCTCTCTCTCTCTCTCTGTGTGTGTGTGTGTGTGTGTGTTAAGGGTAATGGGTAACAAGTCAAACTAACATTGACAGCTTTTGTCATATTATAGCAGGCTTTTTATATGCAATATGTTATTGGGTGAAAAGGCATGCCATGTGATCCATATTATATTGGAGATTAATATCTAATGCAATAGCAAGACTTCACATCAGACATGGTGCTTTACTAGTCATTTCTCTTTAATGTCATGCATTAAATTAAAAATAATGCTTTCACTTAAAGGTGAATCATTTTGTCCTGCATTATATGTGATCTCAGGACTTTGCTGTTTTCTTTGCAGGTCAATGTGTCGTCAGCCGTACTGAAGGCTGCTGCTCATCATTATGGCTCTCAATGTGACAAGGCCAACAAAGAGTTCATGCTGTGCCGCTGGGAGGAGAAGGACCCCAGAAAGTGTCTGAAAGAAGGGAGGAAAGTCAATGAATGTGCATTCAACTTCTTCAGGTACTCAACACTTTTATCTGTTTGTCCTGACTTTTGCTTCAAAATCTTTAAGATATGTGTTAATTATGAGCAGATTGTATTTGTGAAGCAATTTGCACACTTTTTTTTTTTTTTACAAATGAGAAATTCCTTTGGATTTTAATTCTCAGCATTTACCGTTCTAAAATGACCTATTCGGAGATGCTAAATAGAACAGAAGAATACAGAGATGTTTTGCAGTACATCGGAATGCAGTAAACTTGTGATTGTTGTGATATGACTTGAAATTCATTATTTGCATAAAGGTAATGAGGAGTGCTAATGCTAATGCTCACATGAGTCACTATTGTGTGTTTTTGTCATTAATTTTTTTTAATGTTTTTCTCACCACTAGCTAAGTTAAGCAAACAGGTGAATTACTGTAGGCTTATGTTTTCATATTGTCATGCATCTGCACTGTGACCATTTTCTGTCATGAATGGGCAAGTGTATGGAAGGATAAGCTTATAAAATACCAAAATTTGATCATGTGGATGAGATGTGTTACAAACAACGTTAACATATTCCATGTACTAGAATCAGAATCTAAGTAAACATAGGACACCTGTTTTTTCAGTAGAACAAAAACTGTACTGACCTACCAAATAAGCAGGTGCGACACAAGAAGCGACGAGCAATGCTGCATTTTGCCAGTAACTGTTTTGCAGCGTTGAGCTGAGTAGCCCCATCCATTCCTTAAAGGGTTAGTTCACCCAAACATGAAAATCGCGTCCAGCGGATATTCTCCAAAATGGCACCAGGGTAATGCGGAGGAGACGAATTGTTGAATAAAGTCGTTTTTTTTTCTTTTGCGCACAAAAAGTATTCTTTAAAAGTCACTAAACCAAAAGTCCTGCTCTTTATTTATATTACCCTTGTGCTATGCTGAAAATATTCCAATCTACTTTGGTATTCACAGGTTAGAAATGCCCAGCCTTTGAAAAATTCCTTGTAAATCAATCTCTTATTTTTGCTATATTATCACCAAATCTTGGATTCAATCCTTCTTTTAGTTAGCACCTTAGCGGTATTTCATTTTGGAACTGATTGATCATAGGCCTTATTGATCTACACTTATGCCCCTCAGTGTACGAGTGAAAAAAGCATTGTTTGTGAATAATTCTGTAAATGTTCACTGAAAAACTAACGATAACAAGAGTTTGATAAATGTTCGATATAATGTTTATGCGCCAAATATAATGTTTATGCGTTTGTTATGTTTATGCTCATTGCCCATATTTTACATTTATTTTTCCTTTACTGCCATCTAACCCTCACTTAAAGTTAATCTTTCAAAGCTTAATAATGTAATAACACTGTTAAATGTAATCTTTAACAAATCTGATTATACAAAAGCTCAAAATGGCAAAGCAGTGTATTTTAATGTTTATTCTAATGTGATGCCTTTACTTAATATAGTTCACTGAAAGTGTATTACTCAAAATCTGTTAGTTTATAAACTGACCGATGAGTCTGCCACAGATAGCACAAGCTTGTATTGAATCTAGAGATTAAATACGATTCTGAATTTGGAGATGCACGTAGTCCAGGTACTATACTCTGTCTGTGTTTTCTGTAACGGTGTTGTGGCTGTGAGAAGTGTTCATACGATCACGTATTCACCCTTACAGCTTGATAAAGGTGCTTTCATTCATTCATTCATTCACCTGGCCTGCTGTTCTGGCCAGACATCACCCCCTGTTTTAATCCAGCGCTATGGTGTGTGTTTCAAAACCAGATTGTGGCTGTGTAGTGTCATGGACCTCGGGCTGGAGACTCAGTCCCCTCGGGTAAAGGCCAATTTCCCCCAGAGCTCCCTCCTCACTTCCTTACCAGCCCCTGGAGCAGGACCGTCTGAACAACACTACAAGTTCAAAGAGTCAGTAGTGCACAGCCAGAGCAGCACAGGTCAGTTGGCCCTACAGGCAACAGCACTGCTGTCTTAAGTAAATAAACCTGTGTGCAAGCTCCATTTTGCAGCATATTTTCATAAGAGGTTTTCGAATGTTAACCTTTATGACGTGCAGGTAAAAGACGCTCATTGTCCCATTAAAATGGCGTGCAGGTAAAAGACGCTCATTGTCCCATTAAAATGGCACTGTATCATTCTCTATCAATGTGGAGCGGTTTCTGGGAGGTCCCACATGTGAAATTTAATCAAACTGTGGAACTAAATTTGTTATTTTTTTTCCCTCATATGTGCAAATTTAGCTCAAGAGTCGCTCTTGTCCCATACAAGTCAAACGTCATTTTGAATGAAATTCGTACTCTTTGAAGAACATAAGTAAGCTGATGTCAGATTGCAGCCTGAGAGGCACTGCTGAATTTGCTTTGACATTTCCTTGGCTAGAGAAATTTAGTAGAGCAGGGCCAGCTTTGTGCCAGTAACAGAGGAATTATGGGATACGAGCCCTGCGGGTATCAGATCAAGGGAAGTATGGCACATATAAAGAGCACCAGTTAACACTGGGGCAAAACAATAAATGTAAGCTTACAATAACAAGATATTTAAGTTATAAAACAAGGTTGCCTTATGTTCAAATGTTTTACAATAGGGTCGATGCTAAAATGACCAGGTCCTGGGATAAATTTAATGGGGTCTCTCTGGTTGAAGCTCACTGGCAATGACGCTTAGTATAGTAAACTGTGGTTTGAGATAAAATAAAGCAATAAGCTATGAGAAGGCATCCATTACAGAGTGACTTCAGTGCACATGGAAGGCATGATATAAAGCAGTAGCAGGAATATGATAAAATAAACGTCCAATAAATATTTTAATTTATTAATCATCATTTTCATTGACAGATAATCAGTGTTGTTTTAGCATCGAGATACTACTATAGTTTTTATTAATATTTTTAATTAGTTTTTATTTTTAGATTTTCCATTTTAATTTAAAATAAAGTTAGCAATTTTGTTGTCATTTTTATTTGTTTTTTTAAAACTCCACCCTTATTACCAAAGCTGCAAGAGCAAAGAGACAAAATATTCATCCTGGCAGTCACACCAAATACACAAAATAATGTTATTTTTAGCAGCATCATATGACCCCTTTAATGCTTAGCCAGTCAAGGCCAAGTTTTTCTTCTTAGACTCACAATTAGTTCAATTTCATGACAATCATTAATGGCGTTTGCTAATGTACGCATTACTAAACTATTAAGGCTTAGTGATCTGATCACCTCTAGTCATACAACTTAAGTAGAGGTTCAAATTTAAATGTACACTTTTAGTGGACAATTAAACATACAAATATATACTATAGGCTTTAATTGGAGTGACTCAATCCATATCTAAAAACAGACCAGCTAAAAAGTATCCCAAAACCATGAGAATGGACCAACATGTCCAGTCTGGGATGCTGCTTGGCCTGATGTTTTGTCTAAATCCATAAGTGGCTATTTTCCTTTTGAACATATATTTGTGATGTGGTTCAATTAAAGGAATAGTTCTCCAAAAATGAAAATTCTTGTATGACTTGCTTCTGCAGAACACAAAAGAAGATATTTGAAGAACACTGGGTTCCAAACAACATTGGACCCCATTGACTTTCAATGGAAGACATGTCTCCAAATATCTTCTTTTGTGTTCCACAGATGAAAGAAAGGCAACGGTTTTTGGAGCGATTTTTGGGTGGACTATCCCTTTAAGTTCTAGCAAGTCAAGCACCATTGTTGTCACTGAGCCAAAAGTGTTTAATTGCAAAATTCCCCCTATATATTCAAAGGTGCGGACGATCCACTGACTCCCGCAGGAAACGTCGACAGTGGTGGCGGTGACCTGGGCCGCTTCGCCGGTCCACGCAAGGAGGCCGGAGTCTGGAGGCAGGGCCCGGGGGCTCGTGGCAGCACTAGTTCAAACCTCAACAAAGGAAATGGAGGTCATTGTTGGTCGACTCTGCCCCGGTGCAGGAAGCATGCTTTGGCAGCGGAAAGAAATCCAATACTGGACTTTCACAAAGCAACAGCCTGCACGGGAGTCCATGGTGCTAAAACACTCAAACAAACTAGCTCACTCTCATTCCCATACTGTCAATATTCCTATTGTTCGCCACTGACTTTGACAAGATCAAATAAATATTTGAGGTAGCGATGTGCACAAACCGCTTGTTGCCTGGCGTTACCTTATCGTTCAGTCATAGTACACGATGTTTTGAAGCATGCGCTATGACCAGTTCGGAGATCCCCCAGAACCTGGACCTGCTGCCCACGTGATATGTTGAAACAACCTTTTGATTGTGGTTTTGTCTTGGTGTACGTGGCTTGCTGTAGTTTTAACTCTTTGTTGCATCTGTTTACGACAAGACCGCATGTTATATGTTTACTTGAGGCTTTCTCCTCGTCTGATCTGGCGTGTTGAGAGGCGCTTTCATGTTTCCACTTAAAATGGCCTCTCACTCAAGTGGCTTTGAACTCACATGCAGGTCTAAGTAAAATACACAGTCTGTAGACAAGCGCTCCAGATGTCACTGTGTAACAATACATGCATATTGCAGGATAACGCAGCACTTGATCCATACCATAAGTATAATGGGCCCTGCATTTTAATGGGATTAATGTCATGTGTTTGACAGGACAGACTGATTTTACTCATGCAAACTCAAATGGCGGTTGGCAGAATACAAGAAACACATTGAACACCTTGACAGTCTCCGCCAAAAAAGTACTATGACTGTAATAAAGTACAACTGTGGTACAATTTTGAGATGCTCATGCTATGGTACCATTTGATTATCCAATTCATATGGCATGGTGTTTACATGGTATTTCATAAGATATCATAGTTTTACCATCATTACTAAATAAAAAAGTACCATGGTGATGTCATGGATTTTTAGACAATTAATGGTAATAGCATTGTAATCTTTTGTAATACTTGGAATATGTACATATCGTGGTAACCATTCAGTACCATGGCATTTATCAAAATATCATGATTACCATCAATAGGATGGAATTGTCATGATATTTGGACATAAAGCATGTTGTACCATGGTATTCTTAGAAGCACCTTGGAGTACCAAGATATTGTGGTCATGAATTAATAATTTGTTCCCACAACTTCTTAATTTGTTTTCTTGTTTTAGGTAAATCAGGGCAGCACACTAACTGGTCGTTTAAAACGAGGGAACAAATTAGTATACAGCGTAGTCACAATTTAACCAAAGGTAAGGAAGAAGTTAGTAAAACATGGCCACGATTTAACTAAAAAATGGAATTAATTAATAAAACGTGATCATGAATTAATAAGTCATGGGAATTCTTAATCCATAGCTACAATTTACATTTTTTCCTCACATGTCATGTGTGAAGCTATATATCGAAATTGCTCATATGTAGTCTGGTAACTTTTAAACCACTGTTTCTAAACTGGTTTATCATCAGAGCACACATTTTTACATTGGAGATCATACACTCTTATAATACTACGTTAATAACACTTTTTATTATATGAGTACTTTCAAATTTGAAAGCTTTAGTCCCCACTCATTGTAATTGAATGGAACAGAGCAACCACATACTTCAAAAGGTCTCCTTTTGAGATTCACAGATTTAAAAAGTAAGTCAAATGGGTTTGTAACAACACGTGAGTAAATGATGACAGCATTTTTATGTTTAGATGAACTGTCGCTTAAAGTGGCATGTGTAAGATCATTACAATACGCACTCTTCTACTCTATGGATGGATACACGTACAAAATAATGGTGGTTAGAATGATAAGGGTCTTAAATATATAAATTAATGAAAAATAAGTTGATGTTGTTGTGAAAGTTAATAACTAAATTCCACCAAGCTTTTACCTCAGCTGACACACGCACCATCCTTGGACCTCCTGCGGTGATTTAGCATGTAAATTTCCAGTATATCCTTTCAAAACAGACACTTTTCGACATCTGATAACTAATGGCCACTTCGCTCTTTGCATTCCAAACAGCGTGTGAAGTGGCTTTTCTGTTGTGAAAAGGCTCGTTATAGCTTTGCCAGAGCTATCCATGTAGCCACTCTTTTCACAAGCCAAAACGAGGTGCTACAACCGGGACAAGACCACACCTGAGCAAAGGCAGAAAACGGTCTACTTTAGCTTGTTTATCAAACGCGCTCTCTCGCAATAATCGTTATTTTGGCGCGAATACGCGCGTGTTGAAATTGAAAGGTGTCAGCGCATGAACGCTTGTTTATTTTCTGAATTGGCTGCATAATGCGATATTGCGCTGGGCACAAGTTAAAAGTTTTTGAAAAGTGTCAGTGCGTCACAAATCGTTTGCAAACTGTTACTGAAGTATTTGATGACACCCCACGTCTAAACGCATCACGGCCTTCCTGCAGGTGTCTCCATGCTTTTCCAAAGATTAATTGCAGAGCTCCATCCACCGTATGCCTGTGGCAACATAACCGTTTTTACATGGCAATTTTGCTGCGTCCTCTGGAGTGTACGCATGCTTTGAATGCAACAAGCCTGGCTGGAGGCTCCATACTTGACTTCATATTGTATATGGATAGATAAACAAATATCGGAGTGATTGATTGCTTATTAAAAGACGTTCCAGTGAATGACAGACCCAGCTGTTGACAGCTGCAAGGGGATGTGGAGGAGGGCAGCTGATGAGGGCATGGGGCTCTGGATTTGAAAAGGAGGAAAACGGGCCCTGCGGTGCAGATCCTCTTGGGCCAGCCCTGTGTTTGTGTTGGCTTGTGACCAGCCTCCCATTTCTCCTTCTGAGATACAGCTTTCAGGACTATTTACAGCCCTGGCCACAGTGTTCGTGCAAGCTCCAAATCCTTTTCTCTCTCTCTTTTTTTCCCTCTCTCACTCCTTACCCTCATTTCTTGTCAGAGGGGCAGTGTTATATATGGCATTGTTTGTTGAAACTTCAACCTCGATTCATTGGTTTCACTCAATAAAGGGAGAATAATCACAGTATCCTCAGGCAAGACTTGGCCGAGGATGAACTGAGATGTTCAGGGGATAGTTCAGCCAAAAATTAAACTTCTTGTCATCATTTATTCACTCTCATGAAGAAACACATAAAAGGAGAATTTTTGAAAAACCATTATCATAGTGACCATGTCACTAAAAAAAAGCCAAGAACCAAGTAGTCTATGTAAATTTTCTTTTTGGGTTACACAAGAAAATAATAAAAGTATACAGGTTTGGAATGACATGAGGGAGAGTAAATGACCGTTTTTTTTTTTTTTTAGGTGCATTGCAATTAAATTCGCTGTATTCCAGAGATTGTCCCATCTTTCCATCCACTCCTTTGATTTTTCCTTTCCTTACTGAGATGAAGTTACATCATAGACATAGGCTCTCCAGCCAATGCATGCGATCATCAAACAAACCTCTACAGTTTTTTTTATTCAAACTATTTGCTGTCTTTCTATACCGACATGTTCCTGTAGGGCTATTTCCTTGATTTCTCCAAAAATCTTGGCACCGTCTTGTAGGCAGCAGCCTATATTTGTTGCTCCCAAGCAAACGTATACAGCGAGATCTCATGTCAGCTCACTGGTTGGCACTGCGCTGAATGCTCCTCGAAGGCAGTTGCTTATTTCCCATACGTATCTGCCTACATGTCATTTTAATGCATTTGTGTATGTGGTTTCAGGGCTTTTGGAGAGAGCGCTAAAGGGGAGGAGGTGCAGGATGGAGACATTCTTTTTCTGTGCGCTCATCTAAACAGATTGAGTTAAAAGCTGTGCGGAGCGGCGCGGCCGCACTGCTTTGGTGGTACGTATCTGACTCTGCTCGGAGCTGGGCTTGAGTTTCCTATGGATGTCAAGGTGTGTTAAGCTTTCCCTGCAACTCGAGTTTCTCGAGCCGTGGTGGGCCATCAGTCACTGTGGAACACCTCCCACTCCAAGCCTGGATCTGATCCACACGCTTCTGAGCTCTGGGAGTCCCAAACCCTTCACCTTCTAATGTCCATTTTCAAGACTTTCTTTATCTTTAATGTTTCAATAGCTGACCATAGTTCCAATCCATCTCTTTAACTACAAGTATGTTTGTTTTAAAGTAAAAAATATGTTATAAAATATATGGTCACTTTCCTACTGTTTCTTAATTGTCCTGCAAGTTCAACCCTGAAGCTTATGTAGTGCTGGATGATGGTTTTAGCCGATCCATCCAAAGTTCTTTGGTTAACCAGTATCACCAGATAGACCATGCTGGTCAACCATCTAGACCAGCAGTGAACCAGACTGTAGTTTAAGTTCTTCAGTTCTTCACTGAAAACCTTCTACTTCGCTGCAGCTCTTTTGAATTCTTTCATGAACCTAAGGTGCTCCAAAGTTCCATAAAGAATCTTTATTTCTAACCTTCTCATGTACCTTTCCTCTTTTTCTTTCTTGCATCTTCCCTTAACTTCCAGGTTTTATTGAATCATACGGTCTTGACCGCCACGTCATTCAGAGCTCCTGTGGAGTTTTACAGCTGTCTTGGCTCTGCGACATTATTTAGTGGTTGTTTCATTCGGCAGAATGTTTCTGCGTGCCGCCCAGACGTCCAAGTAAAGCCACAAGTCAAAGCACTTATAAAAGGAGGTGTGTTTGTTCCAGGTAACCACAGGATAGTGTGGGTCGGAAGAATCCTGTTTACTGCTGAAAGCCACACTGCTGCAGCTGCTCACTGGGGACAAGCGGCAAATCCAGGGAAGTCAAAAGCTTAGTCACTGGTTGGACGACACAATAGTCTTGGCGGTTGGCATGAGAATGCGAAAGGATCTGGATTGTCCAGCGCATTGTCTAGAGAGACCTCTGCACACTGTAATGAAGTCAGAATTCCTCTGTTTATGATAGATTCACTCAGCCATCCTGGAAATCAAAAGAAGGATGTGAGGATCAGTTCGTGCTCGCGCTGTGTGTCGGTGTGTTAAAGGTTCAGATTATATTTACACTGCAGACCTCATTCAGTGACAGGAAGGCTGGAAGTGTTTAGCTGGTAGAAGTATCCTGAATCCAATTCAGTTTTGTCACTCAATGTAAAGGTCAGTGCTTCTGACATGATTACAACCATATTCATCGGGTCTCATGACATCATTCTTGTTTACCGTGACCTTTCTGCCCTTTCCACTTCCACCAGCTATTTAGATTAACGCCGAATGACAACAGATCTCATAGAGATCAACAGCTAACAGAGCTTGACTTGCAAATGGTGGTCAAAACATATGGGGTTTTCGTAGACATAATTGCTGAA